GAATGATTTTTCTTTTTCTTTTTTTTTTTTTTATTATTTTGGTGTAATTAATCTACAATTACATGAAGTCGATTTCTTTTCTTTTTATGGCTGAATAATAATACATTGTGTATGTATACCACATCTTTTTTATTCATTCTTCTGTTGATGGATACTTAGATTGCTTCCATATCTTGGGTACGGCAAACAGTACAGCAATAAACATAGGGGTACATATGTCTTTTCTAATCAGGAATTTTACAACATGATTATTTTAAAGAATTTGTAAACTAGGAAGTTATAAAGAAAGAGCAAAACTAAACTCCAACCACCCCAACATAACCACTGTCAATATTTTAATTGATTTCCTTCTAAGTCTGTTATGCACAAATGGTATACATTACTTTCAAGACTGTATTCTTAAGAGCAGTTACTATTTAATTTTATGTTTTCAGTAAAAATTATTTGTAGCTATTAAAGAGTTTTTATTTCTTTTTAAAAAGAAATTTCTGAATATTACAGATATACAAAAAAGTGCTTGAAATAGTGACATACAATTTAAGAAGTAATTATAAGGGAACTTCTGTATAACAAACATTTGTGTCAACACTCCTGAAGCCCATTAACTCTGCCCCCAGAATATACCTAATCTTTTCACCTCTTTAGGTAACCCTTATCCTGACTTTGATGACAGTTTTTGTTTTTGTTAATGTTTATCACATATCCATACATCCCTAAACAAACTGTTTTGAGTGTTGCTTTTCTTATACAATATTTTATTTCTGAGGCGTACTCATGTAAGTTGGTACATGTAGCTGTAATTTGGACATTGTTTTTTTCCAGTTTTTGGCTCTTTAGAAAGGGCTGCTCTAAACATACTTTTGTAAGTACCCTGCTACACATATGCATCCTTCCCTAGGGTATAGACATACAAATGGAATTGCTGGACCACAGGATATGTGTGTATCTTAAAAATTCCTAGATAATGCCAAGCTGATTTTCAATATGGTTATCTAAGTTAAATTCCTGCTAGCTATTTAGAACCATACAGGTCCCTTATTTTGTCTAATACTTGGTCACTTAGTATTTTTTCATGGATCTGCTGATATAAAGGTATATCATATGGTTTTAAATTGCACAAAGTACAAAAATCAAAGTACATGACTTAATGAATTTTACAAAATGAGCATACTCAACTAGAGCTCAAAACAGAAAAATTGGACATAAACAACATTCCAGAACCCCAAGTTTTTTCCCATCCATTCACTATCCACCTCTTCCAAAGTTAGCCATTATTGTGTTTTCTATTATCATAGATTAGTTTTACCTGTTCTTGAATCTTACATAAAATCACTTAATATCTGACATTTAGCTCAACATTACATTTCATGTATAATAAGAATGTACTATCTAATAATATTATGTAGTTTGAATTTGCAAGATTCATCCATGTTGCTTCACGTAGCTGTAGGTCACTATTACTCTTGCTGTTTAAAACTCCATTGTCTTATTAATGTTACAAATTTATTTTCTATCCATTATTGATTTTAGCACTTTTCTCAATACTGATAGATCAATTAATGTAAATCCAGTAAAGCTGTATTATATTTGAACAATGTGATTGACAAACTTGACTTACTAGCTACATGTAGAAGAGTGTTCCATACAACTACACTGTGTTATTTTAAGATGCATATGAGATATTTACCCAAATTTATTATATGCAGCACTATAAAAGGAATGTGTCATTGTGACAATCTCAATAAATTTCAAAGGATTGAGATAATATGGTATGTTTTCTGATCACAGTGTAATCTAGCCAGAAATAAATAGCAAAAAGATATTTACAAATATCCCAATGTTTGGGATTTAAGCAATGTATAAATTGTGAATCAAAGAAGATATTGCAATAAAAATTAAAAATATTTTAAATTTAATGATAATGAAAATATATCAAAATTGGGGTATTGCTAAAGTTGACCTGGGGAAAGCATATAGCCACAAATGTACATGCTAGTAAAAAAGAATGTAGAATGTTGAAAAATTAGTGATGTATGTATTCATTTCAAGTTAAGAAAAACATACTAAATTAAGCCCAAAGAGCAAAAATAGGAATAAGAGCTCAAATGTAAATATGTGTTTGAAATATAAAGTCCGTACAATAGAAAAAATTAACAAAGCCATAATTTAAGTTTTTAGAATTAATAAAATGGATGAACCTCTAGCAAAACTCAAAAGAAAATAAAGGAGATAAGATATAAATTACCAAATCAGATATGAGGGAGGAAAAAAACAACCAAGGACTAGCTTTAAGGCTGAATTGTCAACTATTCGTGGTTGGTACCGTGGACTCAGCTCCACAATATAAGATCATTTGAACCCGAGCGTGTGATCATTATGCTGAGTCCCTTTTCACACTTCATTGGACATGTAAATTTCTGTGTTTATATAGAATTTTATTTTTGTGACTCTGTTTCTTTATTGGACTTGATGTGTGCTCTTAAGTTTTGCATGCTCTGCAGTGTTACTACAACTAGAGGTCCTGTCCTGAAGATATATTGACCTGGGCTTAGTGGTGTTTTTTTAAAAAGCGTAAATTGTCCTAATTAATACCACTATATAATTATTAGGGGTTTAATTTTGTTAGTAAAATGTTCATTTTCTAGATGCTAATGGTTTGTGTATGCAATGAGCTCTCATTTGGGACGTTCAGCTTATTTGTTTATTGTACCTTATTGGATTTTTGTGTGTCCAGTGGTGCAGACCAACTGTGGAATACCCTTTCTATCTTAGTGTGTGAGGCTACAGGTGTGGTGGGTCCTTCTTGGTTTTGGTAGTTTTTCCTTTTTCAGAGTTCCCTGAGTTTATACTTCTCAGATTGTACAAAAGGAAAGAAGTAGTTTATACCAGAAATATAAAGCATAGGAAAAGAAGAAAACATACATAAACTTACTGTCTCCATTAAAAAAAAAAAAAGGGACTTTTATTTACCCTCTTCTTTCGTGCACTTCCTGTTTTTCTCTCCCATGGTACTGTGTACTTACAGCCTTTTCCAGTATTTTAATTAACTGATTGTCATAGACTCCATCATAGTACAAGGAGAAGTGGCAGGAGGTATATTCACAGTATGTTGCATAAATTTCATTACTTGGCCAGTGAGGGCTTCTCTTAGGAGACTCTTAAAAGGAATCATTTCAGCACAGCACCTGATATTTTTGACAATAAC